TCTCTCTCTCTCTCGCCCCGTGCCCCCGCCTGTGCTTCCTTCCATGTACCAGCACTTTCATCCTCTCCAAAGTTTACTTTCTTCCTTCCTCTGCCAATCTTTCCCCCTCCTATCCCATCTGTGCTTCTTACACTTTCCCCCTACGTTTTCCCCTTCTTTCCACCACCTTTCCGCGACCTCCACCTCCTACCTCACCCAACATATCTTCACCACATATGCGAGCACAAGGCCTGGCCAGGAACAGATTCAAAATCCTAATTACTAGTGACAAATCAAATTTCCCAAGATTATCGCCACTCTTGATCGTCTTAACCAACAGTCACCAACGTCGCCACCGCTCGTCGCCATCTCCACAATCATCACCATCACCGCAGCTCGTGGCCATCTCCACACTCACCACCATCGCCATCAGCATCCCTAGAATCCATCACCATGGCCAGAACCCATCAACATCACCGTCATCATCGCCAGAATCCATCGCCATTGCCAGAATCCATCTCCATCGGCATCACCATCACCACCCCCAGCATCCCATCACCATCTCCACATTCATCACCTTCGGCAGAATCCATCGCCGTCTGCAATCCATCGCCCCAGCTCCAAAACCCATCACCATCGCAATGATCCATCCCCATCGCCAGATTGCAGCGCCGAGGCCATATCTACATCGATCCCGCCAATCCATCACCATCAGGATAGTGTGCCTTCCTTGCGATGGTGGAACGCCCGCTCCCCACAAGCCCCGAACCGCTTTCCTCTCATCACACCATCACCTAAAGCTTTCCACTCTCCTGCTGATTTTCGTCTCCAAGCAATGACCCTCCCCCACCTTGTGTACATCCCCAACAGCAGAGACCACCCCCCACAAAAAAAAAAAATCCCTCCACCTTTCCCCGGCCGTCGAATGAACACAACAAATGAAACATTTAATCTCTCTCGCAGAGATACCTGTTGCTGGCTATCAACCATGCACAATGCGCTGAATAATCCCCGTGTAAAGCCTCCGCAGTTAAGCGATCAAACTTTTTTTCCCTGCCGGAATCAGACCAACGTCTCTCTCTCGTTATCATTCATGTGACAGACACTCGGCGGCAACCGTCTCTCTCTCTCTCTCTCTCTCTCTCTCTCTCTCTCTCTCTCTCTCTCTCTCTCTCTCTCTCTCTCTCTCTCTCTGTGTGTGTGTGTGTGTG